TACTGTACGAAGTGCTCAACGTGGGAAGAACAGTAGCTCGTTTCAAACAACCTGGAGTTGGTTCGAAATGCGACTCCCATGCCTCTTGTACGCGCCGGGCCAGACTAGCCCTTCAAGAGATTTTAAACTTGACTTTGCGCCTAAACGTAAATCGTGTACGGCGCCATCTGACGAAATTAATTAGTGTTTTCATTGTATTCTTCCCTGAAAACCGATTTGATAATCAGTTTTACAGCACATGATCGCTATGGCTTAAGTTTCAACTACGAACCCTCCCAAAAGAATAAAACATGACACCTTCCTCCCATCCCTCGTGGGAATTCCCCAGTGGTGACATGTCCTGATGACTCGTCTTTGACGGTGTAGTAGATGTGGTCTAGACCCAAGTCAGAAGATAAATAAAACTTTGTTCCATTAGAAGAATATGCAACATACAGGGCAAGGCAAGTGAACGCAGCTTTTTCACAATCGATCTGGGAAAAGAACAGTTTCCAAGAGAAGGAACGACTTTGACAACCTGCTAGAACATACATAATAAATAGATGTATATATGTATAATGTATAATAGTGACTAATAGCCGTTGGTCTCTGCATTTCTCTATGAGCAAACTGCGCTACGACGAGTATAATACTTTAAAACTCATGGAATCATGGCAGCAACAACCAAGTGTGTTTTGTGCTGGGAAGAAAATCCTGCATTACCATCACATTACAGTAATCAGCTATTTCCGATAGAATAATCTACGTGAATACGCAAATTTGCGTGTCTTGGAATGCTTACACATAGTGAACTTGACACAGCTAGAACATATCCAAAATAAAATTAATCATATCAAAAAAAATTTAACTAGTTTCCCGAAAGAGAACGATCGAGGAAAGGGATCGGTACAGAAGTGATGCGTACTTAATCAAAGCGATACAATAGGGTCCAAATGAAGCAAATTCTATGAGAGTTTTCCATGCGAATCAAAAAAAAGTAGAAGTAGCGCTTGACTGCTGTGTCAGTTTTGATCCAGCCCGCTTCGTCTGATGTCGTGCAGTACTTCTTCCGGGATGGTGTGTGTCTTCGTCGGTGATTGCAGCGTTTCACGCTGGTTCGTGGACATATTCAGTTGCTCCTGAACGAGTGGTATTTATGAGAAAAATGAAAAACAGAGAACGCAGGGTCAGCAGAAGAATGCTGAGCTTTGGGCAAAAGTTTTGACACCAGGCGGGAGCCGAACTCTCACTTCACGCTCGCGCCGGGCAGTGCGTTATCCGCTATGCCACAGGGACCGGTCGTTACCCTTTCAGCTCAATGGCTTTTGTACAAAAACTACAACACTCGAAACTTCAGCGAATGAGCCGGAAGCCGATATGAGGAAGTTCGGCGATGGGGAGGAAGGGGGGAGGGGCATTTTGCACTTTTGCTAATTCCGATCGAATTGTCGAGACATCTAGAGGACATTTCGTGAGCTTACAAGAGTTGACAGTTTCGCCCATGGTGGCTCGACGAGCTTGCTCCAGCTTCACAAGAGTTCACAGGTTTCACCAGAGTGAGACTTGTAAACCGGAACCAGTGAAGCAGCGAAAGTGCAAAATGACCCCCGTTGCCGCTTCAAGGAACGCAGAGAGACCTTCAGGTATTGACACTCTTTACTGTGGTACTAATCCACTCGTCGAACTTCAGGACACTTTTTGACCAGAACTCAATGTGTAGATTCGATCGGTACTCTGTCCTGGGCGCCCTCTAACCGTTTGAACACGAATCCCACGAATTCCGAGAGTTTTTGGCGCTTGTGCCACGGCTGCCGATGTCAAGCCAGTTTCGACGCACGTTTCGAACCACGCGAATGTGATATTCATGTTCAGGGGTTCATCTCTAAAACAGGTTTCCATCGGCGTAATGAGCTGTTTAGGCGGTCACGCCTGCGGCGGACCTTCAAGATCATTTGAAGCGGATGTCGTATTTTTTTGAGATGTCCAACTATCTCCCAGGACACAAATCTGCGCCGAGACAGTATTTCGATCAAAATTCGCTCTGAAAATCTTCGAGGATGTGAGCCAAAGATTTGTGCCATATCGCGTGCACACTAGCAGATTATTCAAGAGTTAGTCGGCTTGGCGCGCTTGAATAAGCCAAAGCCTGTCAAAGGCATAAGACACAATAATTTGATACTCAGTCCGATGGTAGCAAGGGTGCTAAACAGTGAGAGAACGCCGAAAAACAAAGTGGAATGGTCAAAAACCTGCAGAAAAAGCCATCGTTCTACACGACTCAGAAAGCAATTTCGGACGAGTTTCCCGTTGGCATCGTGCCAATAACCGCTACGGTAGATACGGCTGCATGTATGTACTCATATATCCATGCAGCACCGCAGCCGCTTCATATCAATCCCTTCGCTTCATATTGTACTTCGCAAATAAGCGATACGAGCATCAGCATCGGTCGGACATTTGTGGGCGGGCGGGCGCGGTGGGCGTCTGAGTTGTTTGTTGCAGCTTGATAGGGCGCTATAGAGGTACCTTTCTTGGAAAAGGCACCATGCAGCGCCTGCTCAGGGCAGCCGGATTCTGTCCTGCTAGGCGTATCCATCTTACAAGTCTTGAGGATTTACCGTGCCACTTGCCTTTGAATAAGTTGGATGATGCTGAGAACGCTGCGTGCCTGACCCGCGTGTAACCCCTCTTTGGCCGCTTTTGCCGCAACTGGGATGATTTCTGAATCCTGTCTCAGTTCAGTCCAATCAAACTCATTACTATTCAGCACCAGCCCGGCACCTTCCTCATCCAGCTCTAGTTTTTGATGACCTTCGATGACACTACAGGGAAGCAATCAGCCCCGGTTCTCAAACTAGCCAGTTCAATTGCAATCAACTGCGCTATTCAATTAGCGAACTGTAGTAGAATCAGAACTGGTTTGAACTCTGAAATGCACTGCGTGAAACGACTCCACCCTTCATTCCACAGCTCAAAGATCTCTCGCTATTCGATTACTGACCAAACTCTTTACGCTCCCTCTGCAAGTGAATTCCTTTCCCTGTAACGTGATTAGTAACCATGACTATCGCTGAAGATAGCGGCGACTACGGGCGAGAAATGGCATTGCATTTGATAAGCGATGAGAAACCGTCTCGCCACTGTGAATTCGTCGCTCGAGAGCTCGAGCAGTTGCTACAGTCCAGCCGAAAATGACAAGACTTCCAAATGAAAATGAAAAAGTTCTCCCTACTGTACGAGTTCATGGCTCATCCCAAAGTCCTTGGAATCATACATTTGGACAAAAGCATCACCATCGCTTACCTTATAATGATGCAGAATGTCCTGATCAGCGGGACAGCTCTCAATGAAGGCGGCTGTTCGATAAGCCGTCAGCACATAATTCCATAAGTAGGTAAGATTGCGAGGGAAGTCAAAGCTGAAAAAATGCTTATTACTATTAACGTGAAAGTCTGCAAACGTCGCCCTTCCAAGGTTCTCGAACCGTAATGTTCATTGTCGGAATGGATTGCAACTGTTTTTAAAGTTTCTTCTTCGACCCACGGGTTTCCAAGAGGGATCTTGCGAAATGGTCCCTTTTAGGGTTCTTCCGCGATGGGACAGGGCGCTATACGTTGAAGGACAACAGTTTTCTGAACGTAGGAAAGAACATTCTGAAGCTAGAAAGGAGCCTTTCAAGTGGGAGCTCCGAGGTACTTGAACCCAGCAAAATATCGCCTTTTAAGTTGGGCAATTATTTCTGGCATACTGCAGATTGAATTTCAGGACTTTGACCAGCTATTTCAATATTATGGATTATTAATCTACACTAAGCACTTTAAATTCTATAAATGCCGTTCCTCTAGACCAGGGCACATCATTGGTTGGGGATTTTGGTCAAGCCCGTACGAGCTCCCCTTTTTGGGGGTTGGTACGACCCCCTAGGAAATTCTGCTGTCGAGCGCGGGGGGGGGAGTATGTAGAATACAGGAAACAGGAAAAATCACGAAAAATCAGCAACCTCTCTCTCAGAAAGCTAGAAACCGAATACGACCCCCCCGCCCTCCCTACAACGAAAAAATACTCCACCACCCGTTACAACGTCCGTGAAACGAGAAAAATCAACTAACAAACTAAATTTTCTTCAGCCCAAATAAGACCGCCTCTTCCGGCGATCAAACCCTTTCTTGGGGAATCCCCAACAACGATGTGCTCCCCTAGACAGCTGGTGACGACAGTATTCTTCCTCTACCTCACACTCTGACCCCTCTCCTTATGCGGCCAATTCTGCTGCAACAAGGAATGGAACAGGGTATGCACTCGCTACTCATTATAGAGCTGGACTACGTGGTAACATGAGACGAGAAAGAGGTCTTTCACTTCAACTGCTCGCGCAAGCGACAATTGCTCGAGTCGGGTGAGGTGGGAGCCTCAACATCTCGACCGGAGTTCGGAAAGATTATATTGTGTGACTGATAGTGTCAAAGAACTAGTCGAAAGCTGCTGCCAAACGGTTCTACTAGAAATACTAAGGTTTACTGCTGAGCTTTACTGCCGACAGCTGGGGCCCATATATCAGACGGTAGCACAGAAGCAAGTGCATGGTCGCGATTGGGCCGTTCCTCCCCCATCTACCGCAGATCCCTGACTTCCCACATCCGGCTACAACTTCTTTCGATCACTGGGTCGTCATAGGGCAGAAGGCCATTTGTTGATGAAGATTTACTCTGAATGAACCCTCAGTTGTTTTACGATATCGAGGCTTCTACGAGGACAAGATCTACCGATGGCCTGGACGCTAGCAGTGTCCTGGATACCGATGGGGTACTTCAGTAACTGAAAACCAAAATAGAGAATAAACACTCTGAAATGGAGAAGTGAAAAGTGGCCCACAATACTGGCAGACCCAATAGATT